GTGTTGGATCTCCCGAAATGAAGCGGAAACTCAACCGTTCCCGGAAGAGGGTCGGAAAAATGACACACGGCACCCCCTCTTCGAAAATACATGTAGAAATTTACTGAAAATGAGCGGTTTCGTCGGTTTGGCCAGAGACATCCCGCGACAAAAATACCCACGGCACCCCCGCCCCAAAATATTTCATTTTGGCGGCGCATTGCTGGTAGCCGTGCCCCCCCCAAAAATATGTCCTGACAGACGACGCGGTGTAGACATCGAGCCCCTCTGGTTTCCATGGGCCGCCACTGCGGAAACCAACGGATACCAATACCGCCAACTCTCTGCGACGGCGCGCGCGCTTCGGGAAGTCTTGCGCGAGGGGTTCTGGAAAACGGATGAAAAATGATCAGCGCGAGCGCGCGCATTGTTCTGCGAAAAGAAAAGGGGGGGCAGATTAGCGTGGATAAACCGAAATCAGATGTAGGACAAAATGCGGGGCGGAATCGCATGCAAAATGCGATGCGAAGTGGGGGTCCGTGATATCCAGGGCGGGTGTGTGGTTGGGTGGTTGGGGGGGGGGGGGGGGGGGGCGCCCTGCTACTTTCTGAACAGAGAAAATATGTGATGCGCTATATGGGCGCAATAAATGTGATGCAATCTACGTGAGGCAACATGTGTTGTTGTACTATATATGTTGCACAATCTAGATGGCGCAGCATCTGTTGTGCGATTTATGCTGTGCACTGTGGACGGTTGACGGTGGACAGTGGCTCGCCGCCAGTCGCGCCGCGCGGGCGATTCGCGGGGCGGCGCCGGGGCGCCAAGATAAAAAGGGTGACAAGAAAAGCGCGCACTGAGTAGAAGACTTGCAAGAAGTTCAAAGGCAGACGCTGCGTCGCAAATCAATCTCGCCAAAAAGCTGAAGGGGCGGCAGTCGGCGATAGAAATGCCCCTGGCCGCTGACGACAACAATGTTTTTCATTCGTCGCCCGCGCCTGTCTCCACCGTCAATCTGCGCAAATCCGAGTCGGGGACATGGTCGCCGCGCGATGCCGTTGGAAAAATGCGAGTGGCCCCGCGCATAATTGTGCACCCCCGATGCATATCAAGCACGGAATCTGCATAATCACCTGGCAAAGTGCCCCAGCAAGAACCACGAGACATCAATTCGCACATCCTCGGTCCAGAAGCACGATTAACCCACGCGCGTACATCGCCCTCATTGCCGAAGCCTCGGTTGCAGAGGGCTACCGTCGGAGTCGAAGGCTCGCGCGGCAAATGCGCGTGATCTGGGCAATTCAGCGCGCGCACTTGCGCGCAGTGGCCATTCGGGCTTGGTCGGGCACTTCCTGCGAAACGGGAAAACAAATCAAAACGTCGCCGCCCTCAACCATGGGCGCAGACTGTCTCGAAGAGAAACCGGCGCGCCCTCGTCGTCGGAGAAATTGCCGTCGAAACCTTGAGAGCGCCACCGGGAAGCAATTCGCCGTCAATTGCGAGCCACTCTCCTATGAGGTCGATCTTTGTTTGGATAGTCTCCTCCAAAGCAACGCGCTTTGAAGGCCCCGATTGCACCCCCTTCGAAATCCGACGGGGACGCCCGTAACTTGACCTGTTGACGCAGTTTGCGGCTTTACGTAAATATTGTCCTCCAGGTCAGTAAGATTCGCACCGTTGACGTCGGCCCCATGTAGAATGGATTTCAGCTGTCGCCTCGAAAGCGATCTGCTCGAAATCTTTAAGCTGACACGACAGCCCCAAAACTTCGTGTTGCGACTCGCGCAATGCTCCTGAAAGCCCTCATGGCATCCCGCGTTAGACTTGACAGCAACTCCATTGAGAATTCAGATTTGCCCAGATGAGCCCATCCGTTCTTCTTGTAACTCAATGAACAGATTGTCCTTGCGTTCGATGGTTGTTGCTCTTCGTTGGCATCGAAAACAACGATTTGGACATAGTTCAGCTTCGCGCATCTCGCCCCTGGCCCCCTCGCACGATCTCGCATTTTCTCCGCCAGTTTAGCTTGCGAAGCCTGCTGGAACAAAAACCACGGCTGGCTGGCTTAACTTTGGGGAATCTTACGCACTCCGGGAATAGTGATAGAGTGCTTCTTGAGGAGGATTGGGACCTTGTGCCATCTGCGTGGTGCGATATATGTGGTGCCTTCTATGTGGTGCCATCTACGCCATCTCCACCGCTCGCGCAGACATCCCACCCTCCCACCCACAACTTCTGATGCGGGGGGCGGCGGCGCCACCGATGACGGCATCGATGATGACATCCTCACTGCCGATGCTCGATACTCGGAAGTCTGCGGCAATGACCAAAATGACACCAGCGACGACGATCTCCAAGAGGGCGACGGCACGAACGATTACGGCGCAAATGATGGCAAACACGCTGAAGGTGCTGATGTCCAGCTGCCGATGAGGCAGGTGATCGCGGTGATGTTGCCAAGATTGAAAAGAGAACCCGCGCGCGCGAATTCAACGCATCCGTCGGACTGATCATGCGCGCGCCGCGGTGCGCGCATCTGGCCATCGCTCGAACGTCCATTCCCTGTGTTGTGTTCGGTTTCGTGCGCGGTTG